GTCGCGACAAAAATTATAGGAAGCCAGACATAAATGCGTTGTGTGGTTATCTAATATTAAATGAACTTAGTGGTCTTTAGAAGCATTAACATGCTGATGAAAATATTTCAACCATTCCAAAAAAAGTTGTTCCGTTATCCATCCTGATTTGGAACATCTGTATATTGCTTTAATAAGACCGTTTTTGTCTAAACCTTATTTTATCCGATTTCTTCTATAAATAAACACAAATGGAATATATTGACCTAAGGCACTGAAAGCGCCTACTAGCGTCATGATCTGTACTCTGGTAATTGCAATAACTTGTTTCTTGCCTTTGAAAACAACCAGTTGCCAGTGAGAAGAAGTGAGAAGAAGAATATCTTGGCTTCAAAACCTGAGAATGTGGTTTAATACATTGACAATAGGACTATTCAGAACAGCAGCAAGCAAAGTTAGGATAGCCATGTTGATCGCCAACATCCGGAATGGATAGGCGCCGTAAGAAGAAGAATGAATATTTTAAAGTAATGGGTGGTCAGCTAAAATTGAATTGACCAAATGGATATTATAAAGTATATAAAAGTAGAAGAGATTGTCGTCATAATTTGAGAGAAAGTTCATTGGATTAACGGTACATGCTCTCGATTGAACTAGAGTGAAAGGCACATAGACACAGATGAAACGCGTTATTATAAACGTAGTTTAATAAATCAATCTAAAAACGAGATGCAAAGGAATAGATAAAGCTATAGTAGTTGTTGAGAGCTATGTAGACTCAGTAGACATAGTTTCATCAACATGCTGTGAAAGATAACTTAGGGGTTTAAAAATGTTGAGCCTTTTAAAATAATTGGTTTTAAGTCCAGAGATGCAATTCTTCCATTTTAATTTGGTGTCGTATATTAAATAAAGAATTTTACATCAATTAACAGCAGATAGAGAACAATTCTTAAAAAAAATTTGGGACATGGGAGTGGGGGCTCTTCTGATAAACTTTGTTAATTTGGTTTCGCTTTGAGATAGTGATAATCCTAATTGGTAAGATCTATCTTGAAGAAGATTTATTACACTTTGTATAAGTTTACATGTGATGGGGACATATTTACCATAGCAGTAAGTGATAAGGTTATCAGCGTATTGAACATATTTGATGGAAGCAGGAAAAGATCTTCACATTTCGTAAATTTCGTTGATTGCAAGAATGAAAAGAGTAAAACTTAATACAAATTCTTGACGGATATCTGATTTTGAGAAAGAAATTGAAAAAGCTTGTCATTAGTGTAGGATTAGACTTTAAAGGTTCTTCCGGTAAGAAATTTTTTTTAGAAATGGTAGAGTATTGCCGTCTAAATTATTGTAGTAGAGTTTGTCGATTATTGCTTTCCTGGGGATCGAATCAAATGCTTTTTCAATGTCTAATATAGTTACTACATCTTGTTGCTTGTTGATTGTTTGAGAAATGTCTGTTTAAAAAAGAAGAAGATTGTCAATAGTAGACCGATGGCTTTGGAAGCTAAATTGAGCATCGCGAATAATATTGTGATTTTTAAGAAACTAAAGGAGTAAAGAAAAGAGTTACGGAGGATTTGTCAGGTTTTTTAATTGGAATGAATATAGAAATGCCCCGAATATCTGGGAATTTATGTATGTGCTTTTTAAAATATATAAGGGATATCAAAGTCAAATTTTAGTTCATGTACGATAAATTGGGTGTTCATAAACGTGACATCGTGTGGAGTTGATGAGAAGGTGGATTGAGTTTGTAAAGTACTGGGAGGGGAAGTCATACTTTATAACCCTGTTATAAAGAGAGAAACGAGTGTTTTTTAAATACGCTTCAATCTCTTACAATTTTTCCTATACTTAGTTAAAACTTAAATACGAAACAATCTCATTGAAAATTGAAAAAATTGTTTTGAACATATTTGTATGTGCTTTTTTTTAATATGAATATTTTTATAAATATTTAAAATTATTATTGAATATTTAATCTAAATATACCTTTTTAGACTGTATTTCTTTTGTTGATTGCTTATGCCGTGGCTGATAAACTTCAAAATAATTACCTGCCACCGGCTACCTCAGGAACTTCCGATGGAGCTGAATTTCTTACTGCTCCATCCAGAGTGGCCAACGTTTTTGCAGGATTCAGATCCTCCAGACCTACTTTAGGTAAGTGTCATACATAAAAGTATCTAAAAAAAGAAAAAAAAAAGAATAACACATTGAAAGATTAATAAAATCAATGAAATTTTTATATATTCTGTAGTTAGTTATTATTTACAACAAAAATACCTGCTGAAAGAAATTTATTAAATATTATTTTTTCTTCTTACATTGCCTCTCCTATTTTGTTCACATTAACATAATAAGTTTTAGTTTAATAATTAAAATATATTTGATTTTACAATATTTTGGTGAACTTCCCAAAAAATGTTTTACATATGAGTTAACATAGACGAACAATATTAGGCAAAAAATGAAATATTTTATTTAAAAATATTTCATTATGAATATTTAATAAAATTAAAAATATTTATATTTTAAAAGTTGTTTTAAAAACCGCAACAAGCCAACAAAGTACCTATTGATCTAGAAGATACATGGTTGCCAGAATTCCACAGAAAAATTGGCCCGGCATGGCGAACAAAAAAATAAATGCCTGAGATTATACCTTATTTAAAATCCACTTTGGTCCAAACAATGGAAAATGAAGCGGTAGAACCGCCATTGCATTTACGCCGCCAATTCCATAGTGACAAATTTACAATCCAAATTATGTACAAAAATTGTAAATACCTTCAAGATCTTCATGAGCAATTAGTTTTAGATCTCACCCATAGGTACTGAAGAACTAAAACATCTATACCTTTGGTAGAAAGCTATCTAAGTATAGTAAAATATAAGGATATTCTCTACAAAAGTCAAATTCCGCCATACTACGGTGACATGGTTTAAACACTATTTTATAGAAAGGTTAAAATATGTTACTTAAAATTAAATTTACTCCAAAATATGTTTGATATAATTAATAATGAAAAATGGACAAATTATCTTTACATTTTTACTAATGGGTCAAAAGATGCAAATGGAACGAGCTTTGTTCGAGCAATGTTCCACGATTACCATCACCAGTATAGCTTACCCAGTGAATGCTCAATATACATAGCAGAAATGATGGCAATATTGTTTGCTCTTCAGTAAGTAGTACTGAATCCTACTAGCAACTATGTTATATTTACTGACAGTAAAAGCGTGGGCAGATTAACAACATTCAAACAGTCAAACACATAAACCACATAGCATTGAAACTTCTTAAAATTCTGTACGAAACTATACAATTGGGATTAAATGTAATTGTAATGTAAATTTAAATTATCATAAATTGTAAAATATTTAAATTATATTAAAATTAAATGTAAATATCAGACTGCCACAATCCCCAGACAATGGCTGCAATCAACCTTTGTAGCAATTCCCAAAAAACCAAGTTCAACAACTTGCTCAGACCACAGAACCATAGCTTTAATGAGTCACACACTTAAAACATTTTTAAAAATAATTCACAGCAGAATTGTTAAAACTCTTGAATATGCGATTAGTGACACACAATTTGGCTTTAGAAATGGTATGAGTACAAGAGATGCTTTGTTCGGCTTGAATGTGCTGTCTCAGAGATGCATGGACATGAATCAGGATATGTACTTATGTTTTGTAGACTTTGAAAAGGCATTTGATAAAGTTCAACTTAAAAAGCTTGTAGATATATTAAAAAGCAAAAATATTGACAGTAGTGATCTGAAAATTATATCTAATTTATATTGGAATCAAACTGCCAAGGTAAGAGTTGACAGCCAGTACACCGAAAATATCAAAATACAGAGAGGAGTCCGCCAGGGTTGCGTGCTATCCCCACTACTTTTCAATGTCTACAGTGAAGCGGTATTTCAAGAAGCGCTCTCAGACTCAATAGAAGGTATATCTATCAATGGAGAAGTTTTAAATAACTTACGTTTTGCAGACGATACAGTAATAATTACGGATAACAACAATGATTTACAGAACCTAATGCAACGCCTTAATGAACGCTGTCATGAGTACGGACTGAAGATAAATTTAAAGAAAACTAAATGCATGATCATGACTAAATCTGCACATGCAAATATCCAATTGACTATTGAAGATACTGCAATTGAGAATGTTAATAACTATAAATATTTAGGAACATGGATAACATCAGATGTAGACCAAACCAAAAAAATTAAGACACGTATTGAAATAGCACGTACATCATTTATTAAACTTAAAAAGTTTCTTTGTTGTCGGGATATAAGGTTAGAACTACGCCTGAGAATGCTTCGATGTTACGTGTTCTCTACTCTTCTTTATGGTCTGGAAGCTTGGACACTAAAACAAGTTCATCTGAATAAGCTGGCCGCCTTTGAATTTTGGTGTTACAGAAGAATCCTACGAATATCATGGATTCAAAGAATGTCAAACATAGAAGTAACTAGAAGGATAGGAAATGAGGCGGAAATAATATTAACTATCAAAAGACGAAAACTTGAGTACTTGGGACATGTGATGAGAGGGCAAAAACACGCATTATTACAACTTATTATGCAGGGCAAAATCCGAGGAAAGCGAAATGTGGGAAGACGAAGAATATCCTGGCTTAAGAACTTAAGGGAATGGTTTGAATGCAGTAGTGCAGAACTTTTTAGAGCGGCAGTCAACAGAGTCCGCATAGCCATGATGATTTCCAACCTTCGATAGAAGATGGAACTTAAAGAAGAAGAAGTAATAATTACATGGATCAAGGGCCATTCGAGAATAAAAGGCAATGAAATCGTTGACAATTTGGCTAAATCAGCATATATTCTTGGAGAAAAAGTAAACAAAAATTTAATTCCAGTGACAGATATTGATACCGTTAGTAAACAAAAACTTAAAATAATTGATATTTACGTTACAAAGAATGTAAGACTGGCTTAAACTTTTATCATTTTAACCCTAGGATGCCACCAAAAAGATGGTTTTACACAGAATCTAATCGACATTTTATAAAGACCATTAATCGGCTGAGAGCAAATCACGCTCTTACGCCATCTTACATGCATGGAATCGGCTTATCAAATACTACCAATTGTACTTGTGGCAAAATAGGCGATCTAACACATATTGTATTAGAATGTGATTTACAATTCAATAATATAAACGAACTTTATAAGGAATTAATAAATTCTAAGTGTTGTTTTCCAATAAACATTAATCTTTTAATATTTTCAAATAATATGGAAATTCTTCATTGCATTTACAAACATGTAAAAATATGTAAATACAAGTTATAAATAGTATATGAGCCTAATCTAATAATATGATTTGAAAAACAAAACAAAAAAGAAACAAAAAAATGTATACCACAAATTAATAAAAAAAACATAAAAGAATTATGAAAATAAAAATAGAACAAAAAACAAAAAATAGAACAAAAAAAAGCAAAAAACCAAAAAAAAAAACAAAAAAAAAAAGCAACAAAACAAAATAAAAGAAAACAAAATATATTAAAACAAAATTTATGTATCCATAAAAATATTAGACATATATGCAGTACTAACATTGATAACTGATAACAAGAAAATTTTGACTATGAATCTGCAATTAATAATAATTAAAATTCAGTCGATTTTTAACAATAAACAAAAACAAGTCTGGCTAATTGGCTCTGATTTTTCAAAAAAAAATCAATATTTCCCTTTAATAATGAATTTAAAAATTAATTTAGTGAGGCCTCCTATTTATCCCATTTTATGCGGTTTAAATATACTGAGCATTACCCTGATCTTCTTTGTTCATGAATACCGCCTTTATGGACAATTAAATTCCTCTTTAATGGCTTATAACCAATGTAGAACTTCAAAACTTAAACTTTAACTGCTTGTATTTGCATTGGAAATATCGCAAGAGATTCCTATATAACTGATACGTGGGTTGGTTATAGCCTTCTATGACAATCATTTTCATCACGTGCGTATTAAGTACTTTAGGCCTCAGTAATGAACCCCAAGAGTATAATAAAAGAGATTAGAGTAAGATTTTAATATGGTTTTAAATACAAATTAATAAGTTATTGTTTTTGTTTACTAACGTTAATTATAATTTTAATAAGAAAGATATAAAACGTATAAAAATATATGAAAGGTATAAAGATAAATACAGGGCAAAATATCAATCGGAAAACGCCAGAACTCGTGGCTGAAAGACCTAGAGATAGTTTGACCCCTCATCTACATAATCTTAACCACTCATGCAGCAGTTTCATTGCAAAACCAATATTGTTGTTCAGATGAAGCGCGAATAACAGTCAAGTTGGTTTTTAACCATTAATAACACATGGGATATAAGGAGAATTTATTTATTTGTTTATATACTTTTGGTATCTGAAAGAGGTAAATAAAACCTAGAAATAAAAAATAATTTGAAAAAGTAATAAAAACAATGTATTTTCCCGTTGTTCCTTAAAAAATGTTTGTAGGTCGGAAATTAAATTACCCTTGTACAGTTTGTGAAACAATTTATTTAATAAAAAAAATCAAATATATATATATATATATATATATATATATATATATATATATATATATACTCATGGGTATACTGTCATGGGTGACAAAACTCATTTAAGTCTTAACTACAGCAGTGGGCTTAAAGCTACTTGACAATACCTACATATAATGTTAGCGATTTTCTTCTTTTTTTGTTGAGCAAAATCTGCACCTGGTATAATTTTTTTGAACATCTGGTAAATATGGTCCTACATTTTTCAGCCAAATTTCATCTGAAACACTAAAGTTTCTCTTTTTTTCTAAAAGCAATCTTCCTTCTAAATATCACAGGTCGAGATGCCTTTACTGCAAAGTCACCTATGAGAGCTCTTCCAAGGTGAATCCTAAATCCTCGTGGGAAGTATTTTCGAGCATAAATTCTTGTGAACATAATACATGCATTAATCACTAATGTAAAAGACAGAAGAACAATCTCATCCACGATTTTTTAGACTTCCTTCTTATGGGATATGATGCCCTTAAGTGACCAAAGTGATCAACACCTCCCATGTTTAGTGTATGTTCAATCACAAATTAACCCCTTAATTTGTAATCTCACATTATTCTTAACTTCTTAATCTTTTATAGTTTCACCGTGTATAAGTTTGCATTATACATATTGCAAAACCATATCGTATGATAATTTAATAATTAGTTCATTTATCTACAACTAAATAAATTGCCGAATAACAATATTTTCTAATTGAACTTCCTAAGTGTCGCAATTAAGGCGTGGATTAAATTGTATTATAAGCAAATGTTAGGTGGTGTGATATGAACGAAGCAATGACCTAAGGTGCTTATGTATCTATTATGTGTGAGATTATAAATTGGGGATTTGAGTTCAAATGAACACAGTCAATATTGAGTAGTTACCGAACGAACACCATATTGTGTAATTACGAGTTGCTGTCAATAAATCATCACTTTTACTCCGCAACTTCAACCTTTTATTATACCTATCAGCATTGATCGACGAGAAGCGGACAAAGGTGCATTACGAACCGAACCGAACTTCACTACTAAGTTCGATATTTTTCCAGTGTATAATCTGCAATAACTTTTGGGCATAATATATCTTTCTTTGTGCTATTCCTTTGTGTACGTTTTATCAAGGTTACTTCATGTGGTTAATTGGCAGTTGTAATAACCTTGACTTCTTTGGTATCCAAACAATAAAATTCATTCTTACAAAGTTTTTCAGTTTTGGTTTGCTTTGGGGTGTATTCTGTAACATTTTCGTTGCATGAAATCAGATAAGCCTTTGCGACTGACTGTACCTATAGCATATAGCTGTGTAGCATATAAATATTGTAACAGTTTGCAACTTGTAAACAAGTTATCAAAAATAACCACAGATTTGTGTGGTATATCTTGGCATAATTCAGTTACAACCTTGTATATCAAGCCATCATTTTAAATGCTTTTAGTTTTACCAGTGTAGATAATAAACTGGTACAGATACTCAGTAATAGCATTACACAATGCTCAAATTTTAATTTTCTTCTTCGGCATTTATTGTTTGATAGAAATATGTCTTTTACATTTCACCATACATTCGTCTACAGAAAATCGACTTCCAGGATTGGTTTGTTCTTTGAAAATTTCATTTAGTCTATCTATAAATGGTCTTATCTTATGCAGTATGTCAAAGTAAGATGAACCTCTCTCCGCAGCTGCTGAATTGTTATTTAAATGGATATTATCTATTAATTTTTTGAATCTGGTTATAGTAAAAGATTTGGAGATAGCAGGATTATTTTAAAAATGATCACGTGACCAATATAAATCTTTTCTGGTAAAGGGTGTAGTCTTATTAAAATAAAAAACTCCTAACAATGCCCTAATTTCTGTTTGTTAGTGTTTTTGTAATTTATGCTGTCTTTTTGTACAAAATATAAATTCGTTTGAGCAACAATTTGTTGTACTAGATCACAAGGAAGAAATTCTCAAAAAAAAATATTAATTGGATTTTATGGGTAAATTGAACATTTGACTGTAAAAAAAACTCAAACATTGTCCAGTATAGTTAGCGTAACCACTGAACTCTGTTCTATCAAGACACTCTAATTTTCTTGTGGGTCATTCTCAGATGTTCTTTCAGTTGTGGAATTTTCATCAACGGATATAGAAGGAGCAGCTTCATCAGTTTCACCGAGCAATTGCCCAATTCTGCTATCAATAATATCTCCATTGAACTAACCGCAAATTGAAGTAGATGGGGATGGTATAAAAATGCCATCATCAGAATCGAGAGCAACATCAACTTCTAAGGCATCAAGAAGTTCATGTTCTGATAATCCTCTTCTAAAATATAATAGAAATTATAACGATTCTGACGCATGAATTTGCGTTTAAAAAACTTGACTTGTATACATTTTTTTAGAAGTTGCTCTACTTTGGAACAGCCTTTGGATCATTCTTTGTAGTTTTGAGATCCTTATTTGATAAGTTTAGCTAAAACACATCCAGGTGCTTTGTTGTTCTTGATCTCTTTTATAATTTTTGCTAGTTTCTTTTATACTAATTGTATTTTTTGTTTTTGAAGAGTGTTTCTTTGATTTTATGCTTACTCTTTTGCTACTAAGTTTTTCCTGTAGAAATTAAGTAAATTTAAATTTTTTATTTTTATTTTATTTTTTTAATTTGTTATGTTTTTTATGTTTGTTTTATTTTGAATTTTTTTTTATGTCGAACAATTTTTAAAATAGGTTTGCCTTTCCTTTCCCTGTGTATTTTTAGGTTTATTAAAATTGTCTTACTTGTAGTAGGCTTTTTTCCTTAACGTTTAATGAAAACAAGGTTTACAAAAAAAAAAGAAAATATAATATTAAAAAATTAAAAATAACACAATATAAAATGTGTAACACATAAAACCAAAGGACGAAAATGAGAAAATTACAAAAGTACTAGTAAAAAAAATGTTGAATAGAATTTATTTCATTTATCTACAGACTCATCCTTTTTAACTTAATATAAGTAATTTTTTAAATAATTTTACTTTAATATAAGGTTGAATGTTCGAATAAATGAACTTTGATGACACACAAGGCAAATATCGAACACAGTAGTTAATCAAATCTTGCCCAAGTACTTTCGATCACAAGATCATCCTCAGGGGCATTTCGTCAGTTGTGGCCTATCCAGCAGTAATAGAATGCTATAAATGTAAATTGGGACATAACAAATACACTAAACAAAGACAAACAAACACTTTAAAATTTAAGAAATGGAGAAGCTATATTTTATATAGAAGCCGAAGCGAGATTCTGTTTCCGGCTTCTATATAAAATGTAGCTTCTCCATTTCTTAAATTTTAAAGTGTTTATATGTCTTTGTTTAGTGTATTTGTTATGTCCCAATTTACATTTATAACATTCTATTACTGCTGGATAGGCCACAACTGACGAAATGCCCCTGAGGATGATCTTGTGATTGAAAGTACTTGAGCAAGATTTGATTGACTACTGTGTTCGATATTTGCCTTGTGTACCATCAAAATTTTACTTTAAATTGTAGCCTCCTACAACGTGTACCATTCACCACAGTTGGGAAAATCTGCAGGTTTGGTTGACCGACCCAATGTAGCATTCAGAAACTCTGAGTCCTTTTCTTCTGGACCACAAATTCCTATTTTAAGACTCACTAGTGAAAACAATGGAGAAGGCAGTTACAGATTTGCGTAAGTATAAAAAAATTGAAGTTGTTTTGTCAAATATGCCCACATGACCAAATATTTCTTAATAAAATGGTTTTGTGGAAGAAGATACAGTGTATTACATTTAAATTTTTTCTCCATTCTTTTGGTAATAATTTTACTGTATATTTATTCCTGATCATGAAATTAAGAATTGAAATTAACTTTGTAGTAATTTTTATTTGAAAACATGATCCAAACTTTATTTGTATATAAAATTGATTGAAATATTCGGTTCACTGATCCCAGTCCTAACTGTCTAGTAAATTCATTAATTAAGTAAATTTTTGCTACGTTGAACAAATTTTAATTTCGACTAAAAGTTAATACACAACCAAGCATACGTACTAATAGCTAATATTAATATTAATTTAGAATAATAATTATTCACCTGCGGTTAGTTAAACTGCATAGGCCTGCAAGAAAATGTTTTTTAATAGTTATTCGAAATTTAATAACTGACTTTTATGAACTTTTCAGCGTTGATTTTAAAAATGCAAACAATTTTTGTCTATTACGTCTTCTCATAAAGTGGGGAGTATGTTGGGGTATCATAACAAATGTTTATTATTTTTTAATCATGTTCTAAACTACGTTTTTAGTACACTTACATTTCCCTTTAAGCTCATAAGTCCTTAATAAGATTTCTGTCGAAGCTTCTTTTACTGCTTTTCCGGCTCCTTCTCCTTTCATCATCCAGCAGTAATCTGCTATCATGGTTACATTACATATTCCTTGAGATCTTCTTCTTATTTCTTTGATGTCTTGGTGAAATTATTCGCAAGCGACATCTCCATGGTTTGTCGGAAAGTAGCCAATACCTGAGTGAAGAAAGTAACGTTTCATGCGCATCTAATAGCTTAGCTTCTTAAAGTTGTCGATCAAGTCTGCGACAATTGTCTTGTAGTTTGGATATCGTTTGTTAAAGTTGGGATCTGTTTTTATTTTTCTAATGTCCGGTCTGACAAAGACTCCTTCCTTTACCTTTGTCGTGGGTGAACCAGAAAACTGTCCACAAAGATATCTAAAACACTCTCCTTCTCTAGTCAATACCTTGATAAATAATTTTATCTTGTCTTGAGGCTTTTTCTTTTAACATTTTTAACACCTACTTGTAAGCTTTCTCTCAAGGGCCAAGCTTTTTTTTATGTAGTGTTGCTTTCTGTCTCAAATGTCCTATTCACAGAGAAAGCCGCATATGGTCCCGCAATCACCGCATAGTGCCCATTTCTGGTCTGAATAGCAGAGTTTACTTAAAATTAGTTTAATTAAGCATCTAACTGGTATCGAAGAATATTTATTCCTAAAAAGAGGGAAGAATAAAAAGTCTTCACTCATTAGGAGCATATTCTAGTTTAAAATGTGGCGTAAGTCTCGGAACATCACTAAAAAAGACCAGGTCATCTTATTGGAAGAAGAGCTATACAAATTTCTTTTCCCTACATCGATACCAAGAAAAGGATATGTCTGAAGCCAACATTTGTTTGTTTTTTAATCTAAATCCTAAAACTTCTACTGATTCTTTAAAAACGCCTAGGTTTCTTACTAAATCGTTCAGTTTAAATTGTGAAAATGGAAAAAGATCGGTTATGCCATGATCCTAGCAGTCTTCTTCATTATCACGTTGGTGATCCAATGGCTCGTGATCATTATATATATCATACAAAGAATTTGGACGAGACGGAAATTGGCACTTAAGGGTCCATGAGGGATAGGGCGAATGGCTAAATGAATGTTAGGGTAAGAAATATCCTTTTTGTTTCCTAAATTGAAACCTCGTAGGTTGCAAGAATAAAAATAGTAGTCATTACTATGATTTTTGGTCCTTCTCCAAACCATTGGTATTCCAAAACGTAAGGACTGCTTTTTACCTTGAAACCACAGCCTCAGTTCTTCAACACACTAAACAAACTTTGTGTGGGGTTCATTGCTTATCTTGATCGCACAACTTTATACCAAAATAATCGAAATGACTCATTGCTTGTTAATGGCCGAGAAAGGGGCAGCGCGATTAATAAGCACTGACATGAAAGAAAGGCGCAACGAGTCAGCAAGTGGTTGGATATGGGGTACGGCAAGAACAAGTGCTGACATTAAAATACTGCTGGTTTTTTTCAATTAGTCTTTATTATATCATTTTGTGAAATAACTGTACGTAATGGAATTTTTTCACTTTTTTTTCGAAATCACCGTTAAACAGTATGAAAATCACTTATTCAATTTTAAACAATTTTTTGGTCAAATATTTTTCAGTCTCTTCTTATTTTTTAACTTTAACTAAAATATTTAAAAAATGTCCCAAGAGTGTTCTCTTCAATAGCATAATCAATGTTTTTGGCATAAACAAGTGGATATTTTCTGGGGAGTTCATCATATCTCTCTGTGCATTTTATCAAAATGTGTGTCCTTTCCTTGTTTTCGCTCTTCATAATTTCATTACATGAGCATTTAAAAGTATATTCATTTAAATATTATTCATTAAACATTTTCAATTTATAGGTATGAAACCGATAATAACATATTGCACGAAGAAGAAGGACATCAAGAAACTTTTGGAGCAGAACAAGGCAACGTAGTGCATGGCAGCTACACTTACCAATCCCCTGAAGGTCAAACGTTTACTGTTAACTACATCGCTGACGAAAACGGCTTTCGCGCTACTGGAGACCATCTACCGGTCGCACCTCCAGTGCCAGAAGCTATCCAGAAATCCCTTAACCTTAACGTAATCGCTAAACAGAGCCTTGTGGATGTTAGCAGAACGAGCAACGAAGACCACATCGGCGCTAATAGTGATCATTCAGAAGCTCACGATTTAAATTCTATCGAAGTTGGTAGAAATGATGGTATTAATGTTAATAGACAATACTTGGGACCATTCAAGAATAACAATAATAACAATAATGGATATAGGTATTAGTTTTTTAGTACAGAATTCGTATTTTTTATCAGATATTGTTGTAAAGTAACTGTTAAATAAATTATCAAATATATTTGTAATTTTTTAATTTGTATTATATTTAATAAGGAGAGCATATACTAAATAAAAGTAATAAAACTTTCATATGGTACTTCTCATGCTTAATGCCTAATTGCATTTATTAAATCATCCAGGGATTTTACCTGACACCATACACTTTTTCATCTTTCCGGTTATAGGTCGTTTTCATTTTGTCCCATTCTGTTTATTTGTTCTAAAATATAATTTGTTCTATAATCTCGCTCCAAAAATGTTTTCTTTAGAGGCGTCCCTGAACCTACAGGAAGCGTGCAAAATAAAAAAGATCATAATAAGAATAAAATAAATTTAGCCCTAGAAGTCATTGGATGTCAAGAACTGTTACATTTTATAGAGTCAGTAATCCAAATAAAAATAAACGTTATCTACGCACGATAAAAGTAATATTGAGTTCTGACCATCACACTCGAAAAATTCTTCGTAACAAAAATAAAATTTTGGAAAACAAATCTACTAAAACATATTCTGTTGATTTCTGTCGTATTGATAATAAGACACACATGCAGCAACTTCGTTAAAAGGAAGTTCGTACTGAGCTTAAAACTTTTAAAAACAATGAAGAAAGTGACCATACAATTAAATATGTGAATGTCTGTCTAAAGATAATAAAATTTCGTTCATAATTCTTCTGCACCAAAATTTATGATTTGGTTTCTTATGTATACGGATCTAAACTCTCTTATGTGAAAATTTATTGAATTTATAAGTACTGTTTATTTTTTAAAACCTTACATTATTCTTCTCTATCTCTCTTCTAGTAGCAACGCGGCTTAATTCTTCTATCCCTAATGCTATTGTAAACATTGATAATTTTACTATATTTCGTAGATATAGAGGTACTCGTCGAAGGGGAGGAGTATGCATCTATTTAGCAAATGAAATTACCAATACTTTTTCCATCAGTGATAAAACAATAGACGTACCAGGTATAGAAATTATCCACTTACTTGTTACTAATGACTCTTTCATATTTAATATAGGTTGCATATACCGGCCTCCGGATACGGTACATACTCAAGATAATATGCTTATTGACAAACTTCAGAAATTATCATCTCTTGAAAAACTCATTGTTGTTGGAGATTTCAATTTTTCAGAGATTAGCTGACCCACTATTTACAAAAGTGATACTACCAATTCCCAGAATTTGTTTGAAAACTTTATCATGAACTCAAATGTATTACGACTAATAACTAAACCTACAAGGTTTAGAGTCACCAATAATCCTTTAATTTTAGACTTATTTTTCACAAATGTTGATCAATTAATTTCTACGTCTTTCTGACCACTCACTTATTACTGCTCACATTCAATTTAGTTTAACACTGCTTTGCAAAAATAATTTCGTAATGTATGTCACTACTAATTTCTTTAATGTAAATTTAGTTTTATCCCAATTAAACTGCAATCTACTTTTCTTAACCACTCCGATCCATCGTCAATCTGGGACTCTTTTCTTCATACTGCTATTACAACAATTTCTGATTATACCACTGAACGTCAGCTATACAGAAATCGACTAAAACCGTGGATTAACCTCTCAATTACCCATTTAATTCGACACAAACGAAAGGTTTGGCAAATATATAAGATTACTGGTTTCCTTGATGATTTTTTGGCCCACGGTAATTTTTCTAACCGAGTCAAACAATCTTTGCTAAAGTTTTGTAAACAGAAACAACATTTGATAAATCTATAAATTATATCTATAGAAGAATCTGCAAAAAAGTTTATCGGTATATTCGCACATCTTCTAAAGTCTCCATGCCATTACTTCAAAAAGCTGTCGGGTCTTTATATTCTTCGAATAACAAATCTTCGGTATGTTTAGCGTTATTCTTTTCTCAGGTTCTTGTAGATAAACCTAACGATACCATATCTCAAATAATATGCCCACGTTTGTCTAAAAACTCTTGACAATATATTTTTCACACTGGATGCAATTAAACATCATTTATGGAAACTACGCAATAATTTATTACCTGGATTAGACGGACTCAACTTCTTTTTCCTCAAACAATGTGCAGAATCTGGAGCCATCCCTATATCTCTTATATTGAATGCTTGTATTAATCAAGGTTCTCTCTCCTCGTCTTGGAAATTGGCTTTGGTTACTCCTAAATTTAAGAAAGAAAATAAACTTGATTGCAATAATTACCGTCCAATCAGCCTGGTTCCTATTGTTGGCAAGGTCATGGAATCGATTATTGCATTGAAGATTAACAATTACATGCTATTAAAGAAAATTTCATCCCTCTCCAGCAGCATGGTTCTATCAAAACTTTTTGTAATCAGCTACATATAAAAATATCAAAATGTTTCCTAGTTAGTATATTACTTCGTTTGGCTATAATATCGTAGTAACAGATTATTAATTATTACAGAAAAAATTTTTATTAATAAAGTTATAATTTTGAAAATATGGGATAAGATTTTCCTTAACCTGTATTTTTGAGTTGTCTTTAAACAAATTCTTCAATTTGTATATGCAGAGAAATGAAAAATATAAATTATACAAATGCAAGGAGAGATGGGGTCAAATGTAAACTATCAAATAGAGACGCGTATTGCACATTTGCAAGAAAATGGGAATAAGGTCAGCTATACAGTCGCGGTATTATAGCACGTTTATTAGAATTTCATAGAAATTTGTAGGATATAAATTTCCAATAACAGGATATGAGAAACTTGGATAAAAGTAGTGTAAAACAACGTTATGTAAAGAACAAATAGTTTGGATCAAATTTAAAAGTTTTATTATGTTGGTAGAATTTGTGAGGGAATAGTATTTCTTATTATTTCGGACTATTAGTCTAAAAACGTTCTATGATGTAGCTCGAAAGGTTGTTTTTAGTTGTATCCTTTTTATAAAGGATTTTTAAATAAAACTTCTATTCTAACCACATTCTAATCACAAAGTATTGTAGTTAGAATGTGCTAAAAATTTATTTACCTATAGTTAAATTATTACATTAATAGTGGTCATCTTTAAGTAATAATGAAATAAAATTCCTGATGTTATGGATGGTGTCAATGATATTTCTTTTAAGAACAAGTTTGGTATGATTGTGACTTTATTGCCAATGTCGAAGCTGCCCTTTTCTTGCCGTCTTGTTATATTAGTCCCCTTGGTCTGTTTTTCGTCAATTTTGAGCTTTTATTCGTAGGTGTGATGTTAATTGTCCGCTTTATTGCCACCTATTAAGAGATCTTCTTAGTGGCCTCTGGTCTGTTAGTTTCGAATCTTTCGCTATCTTTTTCTAAGGGCCATTCTCTCTCTGCTGTTCTTTTCGTACGCTGGTTCCATTCTCTTCTTCTTTATCTTACTCAGCGAGCTGATATTTCAAATATTCTTTTGAGTATACAAAAAGTATACAAAAAGAAATTTAACATAAAATACGAGAAGTAAAAAGTCAACTAATCAAAAAGTGTCATAATATGCAAAAAAAGTAAAAATATTGCAGATAGAATAATCTGAAACTAGAAAGAATAAAATTAATCACAAAACCTACAGTAACCGGTGTAAATATTCAGAATCTAAAAGAAAACTCACATGGCTATGAAAGGAAAATTAAGGCTTGACCAAATCAACTTCTTCCAACTGTGGATGTCCAAGATGTAATAATAAACAACACTGCACTTGAGACAGTAGTGTGTGTACCTGGAACATTTAATACATAAATCTGGCTCCTTACTTCCAGAAATCAATAGAAGAATAAAACCAGCTTAGACATCTACTGGTAGAAATCCATTTATATTCAAATCGAAGATGTCAATTCACCTGAAGAAAAAAGCATTCGATCAGTGCATACTACCAATCATGACATACGGCTGCGAAACTTGGACACCAAAGAAAGTCACTCAAAAGTCAATGGAGCGATGCATGCTAGGTATAACAAAGAGAGATGGAAAAAGAGGAGAATAGATGAGACATAAAACCAAGCTTATTGGTAATCCATAGACTTAAATCTTTAAAATGGCAGTGGACGGAGCATCTAGCGAGAAGAATTAACAATAGGTGGCCCACTAGAATTACACTGTGGTATCCAAGATGCGCCAAGAAATCAAGAAGACGTCCAAATTTAAGATGTGACCATGACATAAAGAAACAAGCTGGTATAACATGGCACCGAAAAGCGAATTTAAGAAAATCGTGGTCAGATACGAAGAATGAATATGTGAAGGAGGCCACACCATAATCGGTAGAATATGCTGAGAATGATGATGATGATGCTCGTTGAATAATTTTTGGTTTTGAGTAAAACCATTATTTTGACGACATTATCAAGTCAAGTAGTAACTCGTCTGCTGGTGTTTAAAGCAAATGAAGAACAAATTTGTAAGGAAGGTTGCACCATAATCGGTAGAATACGCGAATATGAAACGACTGCCGTTTATGTGTATATATAGAGTTTGGATTTGGAACACAAATATTTTAAATCCGTAAAATAGTTTCGAAACACAATCCAAATTTTTGCTTTAATCTGTGCTTTCTAAAAATTGCAAAGCAAAACAGACGTTGATGAAGGTGTTAAAAGAGACATGGGGAATCTAAATTTAATCTAATCATGGGGTTTTGCATTCCACGACATATCTTTTCAATTAAGCAGAAACCCTTAGCGAATTGGTTTCTTGTACACGTACAGAGTAGATCCGAATAAAATGAAAAAGACAGCAAATATTTGATTTCACGCAAACAGCGCCTATGTATCTGTTGATATGGATTTCGACCTAATAAGTCTCATCAGAACAGTTATTCATAAGTGTTCTCAACGTGAAAGATCAATATTTTCTGTGTTTTAAGAAGCAACACTAAAATGGCTTCGATATGGACGCAATAGCGACATCTGATAATAAATCCGTAAAATAGTTTCGAAACACAATTCAGATTTCTGCTTTAA